AAATTTTCCAATAAGAGCAAAATTGAATTTGTCAGTCAGAGTTGAAATTTTTAACTACGAGAAAAAAAGTGATGTTTTCCACTTTTCCTGCTAACATTCTTAATAAATGGACAATCATCTGTACTATCACGATATTCCTTATAACTTGAGGGGAAGACAACCGCCGTTTCCGCCTGAGGATTACCCACCACGTGGGCAAATGAGACTTTGCCAAATTCAACTGAAGAAGGAAGCTCCATCATAGTTTAGAAGACCCAAATTTGCACTAGGTTAACTAAAATCTGATCCCTTCAACAAAGCCAGTAGCCAAATTCAAAGGCCGCAGAAAATTCGCAGCTTCTAAGCAGAAATAAGAGGGAAACCAAAATACAGATCTAACCCAAGTAAAATAAACTAGAAAGGAAGCTGATGCTTCAAGAGAGACATCGTAGAAGGGCTTCCAGAGAAGCAGAAGAGCATTTCACTATCCAAGCGGAAGAGCTCTGTAGCAATTTTCGAATCTTCAGATCTAAATTGTGGGAGAAAACAGTGGGCGCGAGGTCTTGAGCGTTTTAAATATTTTTTTGTTGGAAAGAGCAGTGGTGACTCCCTACGTGTTAATTTCAAAATAAGGTACAGGAAAAGGGAGGGGGGAGGATCACCGTCTATGAAATCCAAAAAATACAATTGACACACCCCTAGGGGTTCTTCTCCCCACAGTACAACTCACACCAAAAAGAATCTCCAAAAAATAAGTAAGTCTGTGATCTTGTGTAGCTTGAGAAGTAACTTGAAAAGTAAAGTAGCAATCATTTACTGAGGTGTGTGTGTCTGTGTGTATATATATATATATATATATAGACACACACACATATATACATATATTTATCTGTCTCTTGCTTTGTCGAGTTGCGAGTTCTGCGGCTTCGACAATTGTCGGGCAGAGCTTTTTTGCTGTGATTTCTGTGATTTGCTGTGATAGAGCTTCCTTTCAATACCAATCAATCATATATTATGCGTATTGTTGATAACATCAAAAGATCTTTGACACAATTTTTTGTTTTTTACACCAAAATAATTCATGAAAAAATCAAACATATATCTTTTGAGATTTAAAAATAAATAAGTCACATGACCTCCTTTAGTCACTCTTTATACTTTTCCATTTATTGTCATAACAGAAAATTGTCTTTCATAGAAGATCTTCTAACTTGGAACTGAATTCTCTTCAGACCTATGCCATTTTCGTATATTTAGTAATAAATTTTTTTAAGCTTTTCCAAAACTTTTATGCTCAAAAGTAGCATTCTACAAGCAAAATTGTCAATGTGGTAGTAGTAAGAAAATTGATGTTTAACTTTGTCATAAGGGAAAAGTACATAATAACCATAAAAACTTTTTTAAAATCAATGTGCCTGCAATTCTCCAATTGATTTTACAAATACTAAATTTGCCCTAAAGCAACCCAAGAAAATATTGCCATACTTAAAGAACAATGCAGAAAGCAGCTACCAGCCTAGTCCAAATATATGCAATGATGTGTTCATGAATGATGAAGACAAGCGCAATAATCAATGCATTCTAAAGTCAGCTTTTACATATCATAAGTAAGAAGTTATTTCCTACTTACAAGCAATGTGCCAATGGCTATGCTTATTAGGAAATAATAAGGATAGCAAGGAAGTTAGTTAGGCATTATGAAATTGAAGATGCATTATGACTTAACATTTGCACGAGTGAAACAAGTTCAAGATCTTACAATTTCTTGGTTTGAGAGCTCTCGGTTGAAAAAAAGTATAGGGAGGAAAAATTAGTTCATTACTTCATTTCATGATACCTTAAGTCGTATGAGTTACCCATCTCAACCTATAACTCTGTATAAATCAATTCATATTAGATTTCATTTTACTTCTTCTAAATTCAACACGCTTTCATCATTCTTTTCATCCAATAACCAAATTTTGATACTACTTTCTGTCACACACCAACTAGCCCTACCATAATGGTCAACTGTGGTGCAACAAAGACAGACGGCTCAGTCAGATTAAATTTTCACATGCACGCATCCTAACTTGTAGAATCAGAACTCAGTGAGTAATAAACTAATCTAACTAAATCAAGGTAAGCATACATGATACATTTCATTTCATAATTCATTTATATGCATATACTCGGATATATCTATATATATATTTAAAAAAGCCCAAGGGCTAATATATTAAAGAAGAAAAGGTACAGATAGGTTGTATGAGATGACCTAAAAGAAGACCCATATATATATATATATATATATATATATATATATATGAAAAACCCAATGACTAAATCTATTAAAATAGGAAAGATACATAAAAGTTGTATGAGAGGGCCGAATAGAGGCACCCTACTCATATGACACAACACACACAAACACCCTAAACGAGAAAAGATACAGGAAAACCCAAAAAAAAAAGGTACCAAAATCCCAGAAAAGAGTAGCTAGTGACGAGCCAGTTTAGTTCTGCCTCTAGTTCTAGGGCGAGATCCAAATAACAAATTGTTGAGTGCCAAGTCATTTTCCGAAGTAACCAAAGTATCATCCATTAGGTTCCCAAGCTGAAGTTTGTTTCCAATCTTCTTCTTCCTCCTTGAATAGACCTGTTATTCCTCCTCAGAAGACTGGCTCATATGATCATCGTGTTGGTAAACAGAACGCCGGGCAGATAAAAGCTAATGAGCACTAGAAGAAGGATTGTCAACTGTTGCAACGACTGTAGGTTCAAGTGTGTGTGAAACATGAAATGTCTCCTCTTCATCTAATGCTTCCTGCAGCTGAGGAGGGTTTGAAAGTAAAGGTTGCTCAGCAGGATCATCCAGCTTCTCATCGTTCGCAAAAATAGTATTTCAGAGGGAGGATCCATAGGGGCGATTAACTCAGACACCATAACATGTTCTGTGGTAGTTTTCTCTTTAGATGGAGATTCATTTTTACTCAAAGCAGTGGGGTCAGATTCATTCTTACTCACTTGATCTTTAGATTTCAAATTAGGATGAAGCTTATAGCATTTATCAAGATTGTGCCCAAACATCATACAATGAGAATAATAAGGAGGTCTATGCTCCATAACAATTTGTTGCCAATATCCATTGTGAGTTGTGCCCAACTAGACTTCAGTAACACCAGGTAAAGTAATATCTCTTTCAACAAGTATTCTGGCTACATAAGGTTTGGTTAGGTTAAAAGTAGGTAGATCTAGCTTCAAAGGGTCTCCAAGAATGACACCAATAGAGTAAAGAACCTGATGGGAAAAAAAGTGCAGCTTAAGATTATGTAGACTAAACCATACTGGTACAGTAGGAGATTCACGCTTGGGGTCAAAATCAGGGGACCACTTGAGTAGCTTCATTGGTTTACCAGCAATGTTGAGATATTTTTTGAAAAAAATCTCAGTGTAGTCTTCAGGCAGGGTTAGTTGAATTAATTAATGTCTCCCATCTATGAGCCCTACTTTCCACTTTCCTGCTAATTTGAGATCATCAAAACTTTTCCTGCTAACTTCCAAAGGTGGATGTCCCCACTGATATTTTCCAATAAGAGCAAACTTGAATTTATCAGTAAGGGATGAAATTTCTAGCTCGGAGAAAATAAAATTTTCCCACTTTTTCTGCTTGCAATCTTGATAAAAAGGCAATCACCTTCCCGTTGCTCCGTATAACTTGAGGGGAAGACAATCGTCGTCTCACTCTGAGAATTACCCACCACGTGGGCACGGAGATTTTGTCAGGTTCACTCGTAGACTATCTTTGTATCAATTATTGAGACATATAAATAATATATTGAATTTCTGTGTTTTGAATGTATGCTATTCGCATGACAATTTTGAAAAATCCACATATAAATGTGAAAAATTAGAACAAAAAAAAAACAAAACAAAAAAAGACTTATAATTAGTAGAACAAAGAATTTATATGATATTCAGTTCCAATGGGTTGGACATTAATATTATCAATCGATATTATTAGAAGGTAAAACAATATGTAGTTTTGATATTTTAAATATTTTGGATGTGTTTTACAAAAGTGTAAAAAAAAAAGATGAGTATGTAACTTCTCGAGTTAAAAATATATGATTAAAATGGAGAAGAGTCATATGAAAATCACGTGATGAGCGAATATATTTGAGATTTAAATGTGAATTTTATAAAATCTTAATTTGGCCGATGATTTGTTGATTTCCGCATTTAGGACTAAAAATCATTGATATTGAAATTGAGTGTTACATAAATGAGGTTATTAAGATAGATGCATGGCAATACTATAAAGGGTAAAATGAGGAAGGGTTATATTTGGGAATGATTGGAGTGATATATATTAAAGATAACATGTCTGGAAAAAAAACTTTGTTGGTTTGGAGCTGTAAATTATAAGATAGAAAATCCACGGATTTTGATAGTTTTAATGTTACATGTATAGATACTTAAAATGAGTTACAAAGAATAGTTTGAACATCTTAATTTGCATTTAACATGAACAAATGTAAAATGAGAATTCATAAAGCCAACTTCTAATGATGATGATGATTCTATTTGATTGGTGGGATGAGAATGTTTAAAGCTTTTTCTTAAGGCTTGTTTGTGATAGAAGGAAAATGAAATGAAATTCAGCAATCTTTAATTGATTATGAGTCACCAAACTTTCGTATAAGTTTTTCAACTTTCTTCATTTCATTATTCCACCAAGTTTAACATTAAAATAATGCTTAAATAATTATATTAAGAATGCTCTTCCATTCTAAATAAACTGATATTTCTGGCCAGGTGTGATTGCTCTGGCGCTGTTAATATTTATATATTCTGGATTTCCTTATTTTGTGCTGCAAATGTTCAATCTTGGCCAACTAACAGACCTGTTGAATCTCTTGATCTTCAATCTTCAACACTAGTGAATTTGACAGGCTATTTTGTTATTTTTGAATAATCAGTTTTGCAAAGATTGCTCTTTCATATGTATGCTACTTGCTTTTTAATTTATTTGACTGTCAGGGAACAAGGCTCTTGGAAAGCAACTTCATTAACAACACATCCATGGTTTTTGGGCAATGCTTGAGAGTAAGTGGATGTCTGATGGCTTTTCCTGTCAGAAACCTTTGTACCCGGTGCTCTGTTTTACTATGTTTATTCCAATTTTTAACAGTCTTTGTTAGAGCATCAGAAAAACCCTAAGAAGCCAATTGAGAAACACTTCAAAAACTCTCTGGTACGGTCTCATCTAGTACCTCTCTCTCTCTCTCTCACACACACACACATTCATATCATGCATTGTTTGTAAAATTCTTACTCTTGTTGATGTTTTGTTTTTTAAATGATGGCTTGCGTTATTGTTGTATGAGCAGCTGTTTTTCCATGTCATTAGGTGCATTCGCTTCAACAAATTGTGTATATTAAATAGAGTTCCTTTAAAAGTTTGGTGAAGTCTTATTTCAATTTTTTACCTTTGTTTTGTTCAGTTGACTCGGTACTTGCAAGATTACATGGAAGGGAAAAGACAAATGACTTTGGTAAGCTTACATAATTCATCATCTTGCCTTTTTTTTTAAATTTTTAGTGCCCAAATCTAGACTTCAAATTTAAATTTAGACATGCTTTTGTTATCCGTTCAAGCTTTTCAAATCTCAGAAAATCTTCCTGGATCTTTTAATGTTTAAATTGCGTTAAATTCTAGCAATTTCTGCTAGTCTGGAAGCAAAATATGAGTTTCCTAAAGTTTTTGCTTTTTAGACTCTTGAAGTTCAAACTTGCAAGTCGAATGTATGATTTAAAGTAGTAGAGTTCAACTTCATTTGCGCTTTTATATATTTTGACATTTTATTGTGCATCACATTGGTTAAATAAAAGAGCAAGTAATAAGTATATTTTAAATCTAAGAAAAGTACAACAAACTATTGCAAGGAAATTTATTTTCTTTTTACTGTATATAAGTATAAGGGTTAATACAGTGTCTAAATATCATAACATGTTCAACTTTATTTTCATAGTTTATGTAAATAATGGGTTACTCAATCTTAGATTTATTTTCTCCTAGAGGGGTTGTTTGGTTGTAACTATTTTATATGAAGTAAAATAAATATATAAATTCAGATTTTTGTTGTTGTTTGGTTTCAAGTAAACTAAATATAGAGCCTTTATATAAGGTATTTAGAATACAGAGCATTTATATAAGGGATTTAGAATACTCTGTGATACTTATTTTATACTAGAGCTTGCCAAAATTAGGTGAATTTTAAATGAAGGTAAAACTTATGGTTAATGACCTCACTTTCCTTCCTTGCAACAACCGCTTAGCATCATTGGTCATTTTTCAATGCATTTAAAATTAAAAAAAAAAACAAAAAAATTTTCATTGTATTTGATTTATTCCAACCAAATAACTAATGCATTTTTAAAATGCATGTTGTCATGACTCAACCTTAGAATTTAGAATTAAGTAAGACGGAAATGGAAGGTCAGACGTTGAAAAATATTTCAAAACATTAACATTGATTCATAATAACATTCTTGTAGAAAACAAACACTAATGCACAATACATAAATAAACAATCATTTAATTTATACATTTGATCATCTGCTGATACATTAACACAAATAGTACAATAAAAGTGGCTGAACAGAAAAATGTTAACAGACTACTTCTATTACTAACAATGTTTCTTCTTCAATAAATAAATTTTTTTATTAGTTATATCAATGTAACAAATTTATTTTTGAAAATGACCGTTAAACATGTTTTGGTTAAAGAAACTTACTGAATAATTTTTATATTATGCATTAAATCTTTCTGCAAATGTCCTTTATTAATACTGAGAGAAATATACTGGTAAAAAAGTAAATTAGCCTTTTTATTTTTATAAAATGAAATTTAATTATCTTATTAATTTTTTTATTTTCATTTAATATTTTTCTTTTTTTCATTTTCAATTTTTAGAAGTTATTTCAGAAGCACCATCAAATTATTTTTCAATTTATATCATAAAGACATCCATTTTAATTTTCTTTTTCATTTTGTAATGTAAAAGCACAATCATTTCCATTTTTTTCAACATGCACGAGGATGGTAACATCCCCTGTTGATACAGTAGGAGGTAACTCTTCATAGGCTTAATTATTTATCTTTCATTTAATTTATATTTGTTTACTTTCAATAATTAAGTTAATTCAAATTTTTATTTAGTGTTGTTCAAAATATAAAAATTAAATTCATAAAAGATGCAGATTATTTTTTTATATGTTCATGCAATTATAAGAGTACATTCGATGTGTAACAAATAAAATATTTTGAAAACATAAGAAAAATTAATTGAACACAATATTATAATTATTGTTCTTGATTTCATTTATGAAACGATCATTTCCAAATTCTTTTACTTGTCTTAAATTGAATTCTTGGAATAGATCATTTCATAAAGTGAAATAAAAATGAGTAATTATTACTTTATTTGTGTTAAATTAATTTCTTTTATGCTTTTAAAGTATTTCATTTATTATAAATATTAACAAGTGCCATAACTGACTGAATATAAATGAAAATGATATCCATGTTTTATAGTTTAAATTTATTTTTTTTGTGTTGCATCAAAATGAAAATTTAAATGAATTTAATTATGGAAAGAAGTTAAAAATACGTTAAATAAAAGATAAATGATCAAGTCTATTTGGAGGCACCCTCTATGGTATTAAAAGATGATGCTATTGTGTTTGTGGACGTTAAAGAAGAATAAAAAGAAAATGATTGTGCTACATAGAAAAATTTAGAAATGAATGTGCCTTTATGGTACAAATTGAAAAAAAAAATTGACGGTGCTCATGAGATAGCTTCTAAAAGAAAAAAAAATATATAGCAAAAATATTAAATGTTAATAAAAAAAATTGATAAGATAATTTCATTTTATAAAAATTGAATGATACATTTACTTTCGGCATTTATATTAGACATTTGTATAAATACATACCAAAATAGTAATTATTTACTAAATTTCTTAAAACTCAAATTGTTTAACAGTTATTTTTTCAGAAAAGTATTTGCTAGGTTGATATGATTGATGAAAAATAATTTACTTTTAGGAGACAATGTTGGTGATAAATATCAATATGTTTTTATTATTAACTTTTATTATATTATTTGTATTATTGTTTCATTGGATGATCATATGTGTATATTAAAGGATTGTTTATATGTTTATTGTGGATTAGTGATTCTTTTCTATATGAATGTTATTGTGCACCAATATTAATGTTTAAAATCATCTTTTATCGGCCGACCGTTCGCACTTGCCATAATTAATACCAAGTTCTCGGATCGAGTTGTGACACATGCATTCCAATTACTCTATATGCATGCTAGGGGTGCAAATGAACTGAGCTGGGTCGGCTCGTTAACGAACTTGTGAGTTGAGCTTATCGAGCCACGAGCTTGAGGTCGAGCTCAAACTTGAGATCGTTTATTAAACGAAATCGAGCTTGTCGTCGCTCGGCTCGTTAGCCTACCACTAGCTCTTTCAATGCATTTTTTGGTGAGCTTTTGTTGCCTCTTCCTCCGATAAGCTCCCATGAGCTCGAGAGCTGGCTCAAGAGCCGATCCCTACTAGTACAAGCCGAGCTCTTGCTCACAATTTGCCAAACAAGCCGAGCTTGGCATGGCTCTAGCTCGACTCTACTCGTTTGCACCTCTAACCCACACATGAGCTCGTGGGCCTCTACATCTTTCGGTGTGACCTTGTGCTTTGATGTTCTTCCACTCCTGCTCCCGCACACACTATTGTATCCACGCGGGTGCCCATATACTCTTCGTGTATGCCAGGTTAACTATGCGCCCTCGCTTGCTCGTGCCCTTTGGAGGCACTTTGCCCACACAACCACTTGCACCTGTCAACGCACCCGCAAACACTTGTGAATGCCACTTTGTTGATCTGCTTGTGTGCACGTGCATATACACCTCGGCACATAAACCTTGGCGCCCGTGCATGTGTGAACGCCGCTAGCGGTGGCAATGATGCTATGATTTAACATTTATTCAGAAATGTATATTCCATCATTTTATTACATTTCATATTCAATTTTGGTGTATTTAGAACCCAACGAAACATTTTTTAGTATATTTTGATAATTTGAAATTCCAACAATTTTTGTTCTAACCGACATGAATTTTCGAAATATCCAAAATTTTAATTGAGATTTTTTCAACAATTTATTATATATTTTTGGATGACATAAACATTGATATTAAAAAATAATTGAGCAACTGATGCATCAACAAAAGGTTTATATGATCAGACTTGAATCTCAGTTGATTTTTGGTAAGAGCTTTTTCATATTCAAGTTCAAAATCGTCCAAACTATGATTTAATAAAGTTACAATTATGCTTAGCATTTCAACAATATGAGCCTATTCACACTGATTTTTTCTAAAGGTCAAACAAGTCTAGATCTAGTACTTGAAGTGTATTTAGAAGCTTTGAAGTATTAATTGAAAGGCTAAGCAATCTCTAAATTTTATATACTTTTAGTCAAATTAAGCGGTTCAACTAGAGAATTCAAGTGAGCTCAAGATCATATAATTTTGAGGTCATTAAGACACTTAAATATTAAAGAATTATCATATGATTAAATGAATCAATACTGACTAGTCATTGAAGTGTTTTGGGAGGTTGACCAAATTTACTAAAATGTCCCTTTCAAAAATATAAATAGGCCCCCGTTTTTCGTATTGGGTGAGGAGAGATAAGTGGGCTGACAATTAAAGCATAACTCATGAAGTGAAGTGTAGATGAAGAACTACCTGCCGTTATCGACCGCCATCAACAATTGTTACATCCATCTACAACTGTTGTAACCACCAACTACACTTTCATTTACCAATTACGACCGTTGTTGCCACAAACTATAGTTTTTTTTTAACTCAACCGTGACCGTTGTAGCCACTAACTACAGTTTTTGTGACTCAATTGTGGGTGTTGTAGTCGATATAACTGTGATTTTTTGCTTTTGTAATCCCATCTTCTCTCATGCAGAAGAAGAGCAAGTCTCTATACATTCAATTTCCTAGGGTTTTCCACTTAAAAAATTGGTTGTTTCTTATATTTTTATTTTTGTGTGGTTATACTGTGAGCTAAGGTGTAAGATTTTTCTACGGTTGAAAATTTTTTAGCACGAAACAACCATGATTAATTTTGAGAAATAACAAGAGTAAAATTAAAACTCTCATAATGTCTTAATTTCTAAATCATAAAAATAGTTCATTTCTTAGAAGTGTGAAAAATGTAATGTTAAATTCTTTATAGTTTCTAATTGCCAATCAACACTAGTATTTACGGTGTCATCCTTTTACCTTTCAGAAAAAAAAGAAGATGATTTTTTTTCCTAATAAATTCTGAAACTATTTGTCAAGTAGCTTGCTGCGCCCCTTATTTATGACGACAATAGTTCTTTTTGGCACATGCTTTGGCAGTTCGACATGTGCAAGTGCCATGTTGGGTATATAATAGTCTCCCATAGCTGTCAAACTCTGCATGCCTTGAATTTTTTTAGTGTCGGTCCATCCTAAAGGGGAGGGGTAGCGGTTGGCTTATGAGACGAGATATTTAATAGGGAAATTATTGAGGAACAAAGGAGCCAACTATTTCTTGTGCTCTCATAGGTGGGAAAGCACCACGAGTTATCTAGAAAAGTTGGGGATAAAATTTTCTGGATGGGGGACACTTGGATGCATATTGAAGTTGTAAAACTTCAGATGATTTTAATAACAATATGACTTGAACAAGGCATAATAAACATTGCACATACTTACAAATAAATTTTAATAATTGTAAGTCTCAAACTTATGAAATGTCTTGTTTAGACATCTTGCTGAAAATGCAAGATATTTTGAAGCAAACTTAGTATGGTGGTAATCTATTTATTTAAACAATTATTTACCATTAATAATGATTAATAAAATTAATAATAATAATTTTCAGGAATTGATGCTATATTTCTCATAAGCCATAATAGAGACTAACTACCTGATTTGATTTCATATATGCACAACATCACATAACTATTTCACACATTGATTTAAGATTCCAATTATATTTCAGCTTTTGAGTAGACCATCATCATTTTCTTTTGCCTTATGCATCTATTTTGGGGATCTATTAAATGAATTGTTAACACTTGGTACAGTGTTCTTAAAAGATTCATCTATTTAGCATTAGATTTGTATCGATCCAATATTACAATTCAATTGTTCAAATCATAGAAAAAGGCACGAAAAGCTTTAGGAAAATAAAAAGGATTCAAATTAAAATTGAATCAATTAGGTTTGTATGATTAACTTTTTTTTAAATATCACACTTAAAAGAAAATGTCTTTACACTTAAAGCATTCTCATCTCGACAACACTTAACTTAGTTTTAGACTTCTCTTTTAAAGGAAAACATTCAGGGTCATAGAGCATTGCAAGTCTCCCCACCATCTTATAAAATTTTCCTTTTAGTCTAAACGGTACTTTTCTATGACATAATAGGCCCGCAACATTCCTCCACTTCAACCAGTCAACTTGAATTATACTAATAACACCCCCATCTATATCCCCCCATCTATATCAACATCACTTTCAACATCACTTTGAACAATAAACCGGAGATATCTAAAGCTTCACACCTTTTAATAATTTGATCGCCCATAGTTATAGCTCTGTCACTATAGCTACTACTACTAAAATTACATTCCATGTATCCAGTTTTTGTTCTACTCTAATGAAGGCCATTATACTCCAATGCAGACCTCCATAATTCAAGTATTTATTGAGCTTTTCACTAGTCTTATCCAGGAGAGAGATATCATCAACAAAAAGCATACACCAAGGCGCATCCTCTTGTAAATGTCCGGTAAGAGCATCCATAACTAAAACAAAAATGTATGAGCTTAAAGTCGATCTCTTATGTAGTTTAACTAAAATAAAAAAATATTTGGTCTATCCTCCTTCTGTTCGAACACAAGTAGCAACTCTAGTATACATATCTTTAATGACTTGAATATAAGTCATATCACTGGCTTTCTTCTATGAAACTCTCCAAGTGATATCTCTTGGGACCTTATTGTAAGCTTTTTCTAAATCAATAAAATTCATATGTAGATCCTCCTTATTCTCCTTGAACTTCTCCATCAAACCTCTCAATAAATGTATAGCTTCCATAGTTGACATGCCCGACAGAAGTTTAAATTGATTATGAGAAATCTTTGTAATACGTCTTAACTTATGTTCAATTAGCCTCTCCCATAAATTTAAAGTATGACACATCAACTTCATTCCTCTATAACTTGTACACTCTTGTGCTTCCCCTTGACTTTAAATATTAATCAACCCCACATGTTTTTTTTTAATACAAATTATTTATAATCATTAAAATACAAATCACTACATAATTTCATTAAGGGAAAAAAATGTGCCAAAATCATCATGATTGATTGCTTAGTTGATTATTAACTTGTTTAATTAAAGAGATCTTCAATTGCTAATTATCCTAATAGGTGAGAATTGTAGGCCTAAATCCTTATGCTGCAGTTTAGATTTTTTTCAAGCATATTTGGTGATTGAAATCTCAGTGATTGCTTTATAATTGATAAAGATGAAAAAATAGAAAATTCTTTTATTCTTTTAGCCACAACAATAATGTATATAATTCGTTACACTGCTAGATATGATTATTTACTTTCATATATGGATGATAGTGATGATGAATGAATTGTTTCGCTGTTTGAATCATGATGTTAATAATAGATGATGATGATGGTCACATTCCAATTTAGGAAAAATTTTTCATAAATTTATTACTTTTTTTTTTTTCCCCATAAATTATCCTACTTGTTTAGCATCAAACATGTACTCTTGAATGCATGATAATCAATTGATCTCTCTTCCAAAAAGATGTAGTAGGATGCCAAATGATGTATAAATAGTATTGTCGGCTTACATAAAAACAAGAATTGATATATTTTTTAACTTAACTATAATTATAGCTATACAATGCATAATAGTGCTAGAAATAACTCTTTAAATATTCTAATACAACAGTTCACTATAAAGAATAATAACATGATGTTATTTCAACCAAATGTGAAGAAAATTATGATTTTAAATATTTCAGGATAACTTAACATATTAAAATACTTAAATGAACATATGACCCACGTCATGTTCATAGTTTTTAACAAGCATAACATTTGAGCGAATTGCTGAAAGTTTTTTAGGGGAAATGTTATGTTCTTTAATTTTCTTTGATCTGCTTGTGACTTATATCCGACTACTTATATCCTTCATTTCTATTTATCATAAAAAATAAATTATTATTGTTTTCCTTGCAATTGTGCTTAATAACTTTTATTTGAGTCATGAGTTTACTTCGATGATGAAAGGTTTTGAAGCTATCTATGAATATTTGGAAGAACATTTATCTTTTTTTTTTTTTTTCTTACAGATTCTAACCGTCAAAACGACACAGGAGGATTACATGGATACATCTTTTATTTTGAGACAAGCGTCTCCATACATGCAGATCAAGTAAAGTTACAATAGAAAATTTTTTCTTATGAGATAGATATGAAGCAAATCATTAAACAAAATCCTTTTCTTCCTTCAAATTTTAATTGCAAATATTAATTTTTTTAACAATCAACATTAGGCGCATTATTGTAAAATATCACTATTAAGATCTTGTTTTTAATTATGTGAAGGTTTAATTAGTTTTTTGAAGTTATTACTTGTTTTTTTTATTTATTTCGTGAAATATATCTTTTTATGAATTTAATAGTAATTTAAATTATTTTTCCAAAAGAATATAGAAATAGTTACTTTTGTCAGAAAAATGGTTTGTAGGTTGAAGTGTCAACTTAATTTCTACCCCAAAAAAAGAAAAAAGCATTGGCCATTTTTTATGATCCTGCTCGGAGCCTTAAAATTTCAAGAAAAAAATCAACAGGCATACAAGGTTTTTAAATACATTTAGTAAATTAAATAATACCAAAATTTTTCTTCATAAATTTTGTTATAATAATAACATAGCAATACATAAAAAGCCACTAAATCTTAAAATTTATTCGATACTAAAGTACCAATAGATTTAGTGTAGTTATTTCAACATTACGGAATTTTAAATATCCATTATGTGGCTCGACGTTGGCAATACACAGACTCTCTTCTCTCACAAGTTTAGAACGCAAAATTCTTTCCTTTGTATATTTATCTGAATTTGTGAGTTATTGATATAACTCAATGGGTATATTATAGTTTTAAATCGTAGCAACTGAAATAAAAGGGAACCATGCATGGTAGTCATCATATCTAAACTATAAAAAAGAATAAAATATTATTATCATTTGAATATCAATTAGGATCATAAACATTTTTCAACAGTTTAAATAGTACATGATTAATAATATTCATCTTGCCATAAAAAAAAAAAACTTAACTTTTAGTTTAAATATGTTTAATATATTTAATTTAGGAGCGCCATCTATATGTTAATCTAACTTCCCCCTAATCAATAAATCTTCTATCGGCATAATGAGACATATAACTCTATAAAACCTAAAACATGCCCATTTCATTTTCTTCAGTAATAAGCTATGCTTATATGAGAAGAACTTTCCATAACGCTATTATCAGGATGAGAGTAAGTTTGAGTGGAATGAGCTCATATGAGCATAAACAAAGTTCACTGCAAAGTTGGAAAGTTTATTTTTCTCAGGTTATTATATCTTAGATTCTGGTTCTGTTGATGCGAAAGCAATGATTGAACCTTGCTGCAAATTCAGAATACTATTTGTTCTTTGCAGGTTATTATTTCTTAGAGTTTAAAGCTGTCGATGCAAAAGTAGGCAATTGTTTTTAAATTTAAGAAAAAAAAAGTTTGTGTTTTGTTCATATTTCTAGTTAAAAACATTCATCTTTCATGCATCTTGTTCTGTTGTTGCGCAAATATATATATATTTTCCCTGTAGCTTCATTCAGATGCTGGCCAGAGGAGATTTTTTTTTATCTCTGTTGCTTATATGCGGATACCAGAAATATATTTTTTTTCTCAGATTTTATCATCTACAAGAAAATGATAATGCACCATGCCAGAAAAGGAAGGCTGCATTGGTTTTGACAGAAAGTAGCAAGAGGAGGAAAGATAATATATCTGAACTTTCATTGGTAATTCTATTGCGTGCTTTAGCTTTCCTTTCATCTACTGCTAATATCATTTTTTTTTTATGCAACTGTTTTTGTATGAGTTTATCGGTATAAAACCATTCTATTTTTTTGTTATAATTATTCTATTACACATTACTTTCACTATCTTTTTTCTTTTATTTTATCTGATTAGATTTTAAATCTTCCTTCATCTTGTTATTTTCTTATATTTTTCTTTTATTGTCAGTTTTAGAAGATGAAAATTTTGCATTTTTTGGGTAGGGTCTATATTGTTTGAGTTGGATTTAATTTGAATAGATAATATTTCTAATCATTCTTATATGGCACTAGCATTTAATTTTTATTAGTATTTTTTACTTTGAAATATTGTTATGCATCCCATCTACTGGTTCTCAAGGATTTAGGTTGGGCATTAGATGTCACGAATGTGCAAATGCTGAATTATTAATAATGTTAAAAATGAGAAAAATAAATCCTCCCATACTTTCTTTTTTGATGGTTTCTTGGGGAATCTGTGATCTGAGATTATATTATATAAAGTCAAGAATTAGCGGTCTTAGATATGAGTTTATATTGAAGAATTATCTGGAATAGTGCCAATCTTAATTTTATCATATCACATAGTAGGGAGAAAGGTAAAGGAAACTACTCAGACTTCATGAGAAGATATAACAAAACACAAATTTCATATATAAAAGAAAGTTCATACAACATTATAAAAAAATCAACACTTATTTGAAACTTTTTCTCAAAGCAAATCCCTTGTAACCTTTCCTAGGTCTCTCACTTTTCTCCTTCTTCAACACTCTCAGAGAAAGATTCACACTTAATCTCAACACCAACCTTTAAATTCTTAAAGAAAAATCACTAATAAACTCCAAAATGGTGGTGTAATGAAGATGGAAAAGTGTATGGTATGTAAGAGAATGAATAGCGGCGAGAAATAGTGAAAAGGAGCCAATTTTCTGATCAATTTCGGCCACAAATAGAGCCTAGAGTCGGTTCTCCAATAGGTGCTTCCAAAAACTCTTCAAAAAGCATCCAAATTTGTCGATTCTTCTAGAAACAGGGTCTGAATCAACACTGGTGTTGTCGGTTCGTAATTTAATTCGATGTTCTCTGTTAAACGGCGCCGTCAACGCCCAGTCTGGCGCCGTCGGCACTGAACAAATTTTCAACTTCTACATTTTGACTCCAAATTTCATCCTTTCTTGCTTTATTTTTTCTCCAAGTCCCAACGTTAAGAAAAGAAGGATCTAAAACCTTGCAATGTCAAACCAAGCCCAATTCCTATGTAACAGTTCAATAAGAGAGCAAATGCTTAATGTAGATAGTAAGGCTAGCTGAAGTTGGTGCATGAATTTAAATTGCTTAGACTTCATCGAGAAGATAAATCCCAAGGTTGGACTATATTCCTTACCTTGACTTCACTATATTGAGTCTGTAGATAATGATTTTATTTTCAAAACCTCGTAATAAAGTTGGCCAACCTCAGAATGAAGAATATGACATGCAGAAAACAGCACCACCGTACAATGGATTGTATTTCAAACGTAACAATAACACATATTTGCTGTACCTGCAATTGTAACTGAAGGTAGAATAAAAATTTATTTTACAAATTTGGACGTTTCCTTTTATTTTTCTGTGGGAACAGTTTGATTTCCATTGTGTAGAAACACAATTTCTTTGTTATTTTTATGTGTTTGCATGATCTCTACTAATTTGTTATCCCCATATTTCTTGTATCTGTCCAATCATAAACATCTAGACTACTCATTAACAACAACTATTTTCGCAGGGTTTGAGAATTTTATAATTGTGACACAGTATGTAAAATAGTTTAGATTGTTTTAGAATTCATTTAAACTTTATTCATGTAATTATAATTTAAGATGTATCAGATTTGTTTTGTTAGGTTTTCTAAGTGACAATTTTATTGCCAGTCAGTGAAAATATTACTTAAAGAATTAATCACAAGGAATTGTATACAAAAGAAAAAAAAAGATGATCAAAAGAACAAGTCTTCTGAGAGCATGATATCTATCTGCAAGGAGAGTAGCAGGCCAACATTCAGACAAGCGTTAAGTCAAGAATGTCAAGTCCATCATGTGAGTTATTGAGTCTATGTTGAAACCTAATAAACTTGGAAAGTGATTAATTTTTTTTATTCAACTTTTGCTTTGAAAAAACGGAATCTAGAACATTTTATCCTCTGAATCATGATAGAAACTTTAGATTGAATAGAGTTGAATCACCAACAACTTTCACATCAAACAATGAATATTAGGGAATTTAGTTGTAACGTAATAAGGAGGAATGAGAGAAGTAATTGAGGTTGGAATTTAACTTTACCAAGCATGGTTCTTAAAGTTCAGATCTGACATATCAAAGAGCATTGGTGATACAAACATCCAGCAAACCTATAATAGCTAGGAAAAACAGACTCAAAGGAGAAGGCCAAAGTATGTTTTTGACTGAGAACATTTTATGGGGGGGCCAAATTTTAGTAAGTTGGTAGTTTCAATTAATCATTATTATTTAACATATAAATTATGCTTATGCATACCATGATTAATGGAGCTGTCCTTAGCGATAGAGCCCTTATAATATGATTTTTGGAATTTTGAATGCATCTTGAAACAATTCACATATTTATGACCAATGACTTTGTTATTTTGACCCCCAATTAATGAACTAAAGTAAAATGACACTTTTGTAATTTGGTACCGCTCACCTCACATCTCACCTACCGCTCACCTACCGCTCACCTACCTCCCACCTACCACTCTCTTGATTCTATAAATAGAGGGAGTGTGAGGCTTAGGAGAGCAAGGGAAGAAATCTTAAGGGTGTGAGGCTTAGGAGATCAAGGGGAAGAGATCTTAAGCAATCTCAAAGGAAGAGAGAATAGCTAGAGAGTTAGAGAGGAGGAGAGCATCTTGAGGCCTTGTATCAAGGTGTCGCTTGAGAGGGAGGCCATAGAAGGAAGATGATGGCTCATCTCTATGTATAAGCTATGTATTCTCCATTTCTTTTGCCTTAGTGAACTATTTGATTGATTCCCTCCCGTGGACGTAGATCCAGTTAGATTGAACCACGTAAACGATCTGTGTTTGCTTGTGTTCTTTTTCGTCTCATTTCTATGCCAGGAAGTACATATCTCACAACAGATTTGAAGATGACAAAATGAAGTCTAATGTTGACACGAGGGCATTTGGGTCGAACACAAAATTGTATCCTGCTTAGGGATCATTCCAATGCTAGACCTGCTCAAATTGCTTCACCCTTAGAGTGGTTGGCCGACCCTTAAGAGCCTTCATTTTACCTAATTTAAGTAAATTTAGGGTTATTTGTTGCGGAATTATTTATGTATTTGCTTTTGGACTGGAATGGGGATTTTATTTTTTTTATTCTTGCGATTTATAGTTTGTTTCTTTGGATTTTTTTCTCGTAGGAGTGCTTGAGTAACCCTCCATCCCTTCAATTGTTGAGCCTATATTCTGATCAAGGATAGGCTATGAAACCTTCGGACGCTTATATCACGCTTATTCCTGTCGTTAGATGCCAACTCCTAGCTGTTCTTCATACAAGACAGCAGCCATCACCTATTTTCCTTTTCTCCGACTCTTATCAAACCACAAACTCCTCTTGTCCTTCATCCATCACCTTTCCCAACACTTAGATTGATCCTTTTACACTATGATTTTCTAGATCGGTGTCAGTTGATAGCTAAGCTTTTAATCCTTTTTTTTGTTGGAATCCAATTCCTAACCCACAACCCATATGTTTTCTGCTTATGTCTAAACCTAACTTTTGACGAACCTTAGTTTCAAAATTTCCTCCTTGGTTGAAACCCTAAAGTAAGTAAACCATCATGTCGGTAAGGAACCCCTAGAGGAATGTTTAGGAGCTTATCATGGTGGATATACAACAAAAAAAAATTTCAATAGCTACGAAGGCTCATTGATTTAACAATAAGAGCGGAGAAGATGATGAAATTTGTTTTCAACATAAAGACTCAAATGATGAAGAGCCATTGTTGCACTGATTCAACATTGAGTATAGAAGGAAAGAGGTTGACGATCGCATGGATGAGGACGAATTCATTGAGCACCTTCAGACAGAGGAACAAGTTTTTGAGTACAAGGACATTGCACCTCACGAAAGAGTGATGTTAACTTTCGTTTACTTAAAAAAAGAGTGCCTCCTTGTTGTGGGAGAATTCGACCGCTTGCGTCAGTGTGAGGGAAATAATTCAATTCCTATGAAGAGAGGCCAATACATGAGAAAAAAAAGACCAACAACATCAAGATATTTCTAGTCAGGAAGTGCTTCAACTGTCATTGATATAGGCACATTGCATCCTACTGCCCAACTATGAGAGTAATTTCTTTTACTGAGTAGGGTGTAATGGAAGAAGCAGATAGTGGAGACTCTAGAGGTAGAATTTAGAAGGGTACCAATAACAAATAGGTGATGGTTCAATGACTTCTCGAAATTAAGCTTAAAAGGGATCAATAATGGTTTACACATAACATCTTCTATATTTGTTGTACTGTGAGGGGGAAGGTGTGCAGTCTCATTATAAACGAAAGCAGTTTTAAGAATGTTGTCTACAGAATCTACACAAATGATGGACAAATTAAACTTCACTATTTAGAAGCATTCTCATCCATATTTTTGGACTTGATTGAAGAAAGGAAATGAGATTTGTATTGACAAGAGATGTTTGATAAAGTTTTTCTTAGAGACAAGTTGCAAAACTAGGTTTGTTCTCATGTCATATTTATGAAATCATTTGACATTTTATTGTGTTGATCGTAACAGTATGATTAGGGCATATTTCATGGTGCCGTAAAATCACTTACTTACTAAGGATGGGAAGTATTTTAAATTTTGCTCCTTGAAGGAGTTAAAAGTGATGAGTACTAAGACGTTGGGCGAAGCTATATTGATTTTTGCTATATTTCTACAAGCTATGAGAATGGCGTTAATGA